CATTTTTCTTATTTCAGGATGTTTGATAGTGATATTTAAATCTTAACTGATTTCCCGCCCCCCCTCCTTTTTTTTGTTGATTATTATTTGTTTCACTCAGTTGCCTTGAGCCTTCTCTCAGTTGAGAATTAGGCAGAACGTTATCCAAGTTTTGATGGTTCTACAAGAAAGAAAAATGGAACCTTTATGAAACATTACAGTTTTATAAAAATGATCAAGCAGAGATGCCTGAAGAGTATTGTTTTAAAAAATGCAATACATATAAAAACCAGTCACTTTCTCTCAGACTTAGGAGGAAAGTAAAGGCAAACCACTATGGAAACCCTGCTGAGAAAACCGAAGGGATCTGTCTAGGCGGTTGCCAAGCGTCAATGCTGACCTCAACGGGACAAAAAGAGAGCATCTTGCTGACAGATAGCAAGCTCCCATTTAGCCAGGGTTTTGGAAAGCGCAAGTTTGAAGGAACATGGAAATAAAGCACTTGTTAAGTCTCTTGTAAACATATCCTCTTTCAGCCATGTTTATGCCTCTGCTGAATCATTATGAGAAGCTATGCAGTCACATTTATGTGCCAGGGATTCTAGGGCTGACGGGCAGCTGTCACACACTCTGAATTCGTTCCATACTAAAAGCTGTACAATCACAAGGGGGCATGTCACCCAAGTAATATAATTTCGAATTAATTATGCTTGGTTTTCAGAGATTTCAAACTATATAGATGGTATTGATTGATGGTAGATTAATATCAAATCCTGCTGGGCACAATCCAGCTGCCAGTCCAGGATAAAGATCTGCCTCACTGGTTTCTTTACTGCCCCATTTATTTTAATGATATTGGGTACTACTATCTCGATTCTGAAAAGGACAGATACCTTGCTCAGGCATTATGAAATGTGAGCGACTGATCATGGAAGTGTTGCCATTAGCATCTCTTGCTGACATTTTGCGAATAATGTCTTTCTCTTGAAGATATTCACTGCAAATTTTTGCCAAGAGAAACATCTTTGCACAGGAGTATATGTATTGTCTTCCCTCCCTACCAGGGTTTTATTTTATATATATATAGTTGTAGCAACGTTTCAGCAGAATCTCATCTGCCATCATCAGGCTTCTGTATTGTGTCCGTCTGTGAGTCAGACA